TAGGGGATGCAATAAAACTCTAAAAGTCAAGACCTTGTCTGGAGGAGGAACTATGCAATTTTATAGAATCTAATGACATTTGCAGTTTGTTAAAAGAATGCTTTAATGAGAAAATGTGTGTGTGTGTGTGTGTGTGTGTGTGTGTGTGTGTGTGTGTGTGTGTGTAAGTGTGTATATATACTATATGTTTGTTTTGTGTGGATGTGTGCCCACATGTGTGTGAGTTCATGTGGAGGGCAGAAGTCAACACCATGTCCAGCATTTATGTGGGGGCAGGGAATCCAGATTCAGGTTGTCTGCTTGTGGGGCAGACTCTTTCCTGACTTATTCCTGGAGAAAGTTTTTTTTTTTTTTTTTTTTTTTTTTTTTCCCTAAAAAAAACCCATTTTGGTAAAAAACAAGTCTCCAAATGCTGTAATAGTTTTTTTTTTTTTTCCCTTAAAAAAATCCTTTTTTGGAAAAAAAAAGTCTCCCCCTTTTTTAAAAATTTTTTTTTTTTTTTTTTTCCCTAAAAAAAACCCATTTTGGTAAAAAACAAGTCTCCAAATGCTGTAATAGTTTTTTTTTTTTTTCCCTTAAAAAAATCCTTTTTTGGAAAAAAAAAGTCTCCCCCTTTTTTAAAAATTTTTTTTTTTTTTTTTTTCCCTAAAAAAAACCCATTTTGGTAAAAAACAAGTCTCCAAATGCTGTAATAGTTTTTTTTTTTTTTCCCTTAAAAAAATCCTTTTTTGGAAAAAAAAAGTCTCCCCCTTTTTTAAAAATTTTTTTTTTTTTTTTTTTTTTTTTTTTTCCCTAAGAACAATCCATGTTGGTACAAAGCAAGTCTCACCATGCTGTAATAGTCTTTCTTTTTATGTCCTTTTTCATAACTGTATCAAGATCTATTCAAATCCACCCACTATGTATAAGCTATCAGGACAATGGAATTCTGAATAAATCAACAGTTTGTAATTTAGCCGGGAGCTATAGGCTAAGCAATTAAAATTGAATTGCTAAGAATGAATTATGGGTCTCAGCTCTACTCTTTGTCTTGTTACTGGTTATTCCATATTTAGCATACTTTGTCATGTATCAACAAATCAAACTCTTTCACTGAACAGCTAATAACATTATAAGTATCCTTTAACAGTCTCAAAAATCAAAGTATCTCATTTACCTTACAAGGAGAAATACCATTGAGTTTTATTAAAAAGATGGACTTAACATACATACATACAGAGAAAATCTGGGAAACATTACAAATAAGCACACCCCAAAAAGTACATCCTTGTGACAGGGAAAGGCACTTCAGGGGAAAATCTCTGGGTGCAATAAGACTGAAAGGCATGGCATATTGATTTGCTGAGTCCTAGTTAAAACTCACGATGTGTCTGGGACAGCATTCATGCTGGATCTTGATCTCTTTGGTCTCAATTTCAAGGGACCCAGAGGAGGAGATCACATTGTGATCATCATTTGTTGCCTCTGCTACTTGTCTATGCCTTTCAAACAAGTCATAAGTGCTCTATTCTCTCCCTCAAGGGGGTTCCCCTCTTCATAGGTTCATGTCCTTTCCCTGTAAAAACAAAAAATCTCTTTAAAATTGTAGAAGTGAACCAGACAGTGCCCACAAAGCTACAGTGAGAGCTGTCTTAGCTACTGCTTTTCTCCAACTATCATGAGTACATCTCATGTAGCTTATCACGGCATTTGCTGGGGTTTTGTGTCTTCTGCCTCACTGATGTCTCTCTTGTTACAGTGAGAGTTCAAGGGTTGTAGGGTCTCTTAACTCTCTTGGCGTCCAAGGCAACTAACTTCTTTCCCATATTATAAATATGGGGAAATGATGTTGAAAATGCTGGGGCAAAAGGAGAAAGGAAGTTTAAAATCAAACTGTAATGTCCCTCTTGACAGAAAATCTATCAGTAAGTAGAATCAGTAGCATACAGATCCATGTGAAACAGACAGAATGAAAATGAGAATCATTTCATCTTCCCTTAATAACAAAAGACAGGTGAGTGGGTCGAGGGCTGAGCCTCCAAGTTCAAAGATTATACCTGGTGACTGTTCTCACTCAAGCTAGATGGCTTTTCTCTCTGCTGGCTCAGCTTCAGGCAGCCTCTCCCAGGTACTGGAAAAACTCCAAGCTTCTGTTCTGCCAGCTGTAACCCAGCAGGAAGTAAAGACCTGTTTTGTTTTGGTTTTATCATTTCCTGACAAGAAGGACTCCAGGGAATTTTTCTGACATGGACAAGATTATGTCATTTGCCCACTGGTGAGTATACCAAGACATTTAGGATGTGTAGAACAGGCACAGGGAACTAGCAATATTCTGTGGGGCTGTCAGCTTACTCCCAGAGCTGTGGAGTAGGATCCCTTGTCTTGAACCAATACTGGGAAGAGAGATAGATAGGGAGGACTGCAAGCCAGAGTCCTGGTTTCCAAAAGAAAGTTGGGACTCTGTCATCACAGGCAAAAGGAAGGAGCTTAGATCAAGTCCAGAAGACAAATCTATTAGAGATGTATTCAATGAATACTTTGGATTGAACAGATAGAGAGTCTAGGGATGTTTTAGTTATTCATTTTTATTTTATGTGTGTGAGTGTTTGCCTAAATGTATATATGGGTACCACATTCATGATTGGCACCCACAGAGGCCAGTTCTAGGGTATTGGATTCCCTAGAACTAGTGTACAGAGTCAACTGTCATGTGGGTGCTGGGTACCAAGCCTGGGTCCTCTGCAAGAGCAGCAAGGGCTCTTAAAGCCTGAGCCTTCTCTACATCCCCAGGTCCAGGGATATAATACAGAATAAAGATATCTTCATTCTCTCTTCAGCCAGACTCTTTCATTATACTGAAAGCACTGACTGTGATAAAAGAGGGCTGGCAGTTGAGACATCTTGATTCCTGGTGGTAAGCAGGAAAAGCAGCACGGCCCACTAGACCATTCCTGCAATTCTATCCATGCTCAGGATGAGCATGGCTCTGGATTTAAAAGATCTATTGCATGGTCCTCATTAAAATGGAAAGACATAACAACTACGGTAAATTGTGCAAGGTTAATAAACTAATGCTTAGGGATGAGTCCATTCCCTTCAAATTGGTGTTAGTGTGACTTTAAAGTCTGGACATAGAACTTGTCATTCTACTCACACAAAGTGTAATTGGCTGGAGATGATGCTTAACAGGTCAAAAAGAATTGTGTTATTTTGGTAGAGTGCCATTTTTCTTTAAAGTTTGAAAACTAGCAAGCCTAAGGTTAGGGGTTCACTGTGAAGACTGACAGTGTGCAGAGAGGAAGACCACTAGACTCCCGTTTTGTAAGCAACTTCCGTTTTACTACACAGCTCCTGGCATATATTTAGCACTTACTTTTTGAAATGTTTTTATGCTTTGACAACTACTGTAGGAGCCTTGTACTTGATTCTCTCTGTGTGTTTGCTTATGTAGCATATCAGATTGCAGCTGGAATCCTATAGCAGATATTTTCTGTTTTCTGACATCATCACATAGAGACAAACAGGCTGAACAGCATCCTGCTAATACTGAAGGCAAATATTTCAGTTATTAAAACCAGAAAAAGTGCTCCAATTAGGTTGACAGAGTCTGTGAGCTTTATCTAGGTAAATAAAAATCAAATAAAATGCCTGGGACTAAAGTGCTTTCTATAAAACTCCAAATCCCACTGGCTTTAGTTGTACTCACTCTTTCCATGAGTAAGATGAATAAAACAACAACAACAACAACTACAACAACAAAAACAAAACCCTCAGAGACTACAGCAATCCATTGTTAACATTAGGAGAGTTGACTTTGAACCATGAGATATAAACATTAAGAAACAAAAACCTCCTTAGTATTATGAATCACTTATCTCAGGAAACTAATAATTCTTTATAAAGTTTCCTAATAATTGAGATAGCTGTGTTTACTTTCATTCACAGTTTGTAGTTTTAATTACTAAAACTAATCAAGTTAGATAATAAATTCATCCTAAATTCTTTTTTCTTGAGGCAGAGTCTCACTATACAAACCTGGGTGGTCTGGGGCTCACAGAGATCCAACTACCTCTGTCTCCCAGGTGCTGGGATTGAAAGTGTGCACCATCACTTCCTGCCCTAAATTATTTCCTCAGAGGAAAAACAGTAATGAAAAATTGTTTTTGTTTTTCAAACATTTTTTTTCTTTATGTATAAGGATTTTACTCCTAGGTGAGTCTTGTTTCTAGTAATATGGAGGCAAAAGCAAGTTTTGTTTTATTTATTTACAATTTTAGCATTCAATATACACCGCTGTTTCATAAAAATGTTAGCATTTATTCATCTTAACATTTTGAGGTGGGTACCACCATCCGTGTGCATTTTGGAGACATGAAATTACAGCGTCAACAGAAGGTGGGGTTTCCTGTCCCTGTAACGAGCGGCACAAAAGTTTTCACCTATCAGCTCTGAGCATCACCTGGCCTCAATGAGCTCTACACACCACTCATCAAGAGATCCACACAGCTCTCAGAGAGCTGTACCCGGACCCACACCAAAACCATCGAAAACCTGCGCGTTATTATCTGACCAAGAATTGAGCTAGTGAATGACAAAGGCTAGAGCTGAGAGTTTACTGGAGGGGGTGGGGAGCTGCGGGATGGCTCCATGGTTAAAAGCACTGGCTGTTCTTCTGGAGGGTTTGGGTTCAATTCTCAGCACCTACATGGCATCTCACACCTATCTGTGACTCCAGTTCCAGGGCTTCTGACACCCCCACACGGACATACATACAGGCAAGACACCAAAGAACATAAAATAAAAATAACTTTAAAAAAAGAAACTGTTAGGGAAAAAAAGGAGGGATTTATGTCGATAATGCAAGAAGAAGGAGAAGGAGATTGTAACCTGACACAGATATTTCACAGGTGCATTTATTTATTTATTTATTTATTTATTTATTTATTTATTATTTTTGCTACAAGGATGTGAGAAGGATGCTACTCCTCCTATTTGTCAGCAACTGACTTTGGTGACTTCACTGCCTGCTTGAGAGCCCTCGCAACAGCACTGCCTCCCCAACTTGCTCCAAAAGACCACCAGGTCTTTATTTCCTGAATTCGTGAAAATCTCTTACACCGGAATGTGGTGCTCACAGGCACACTCGAGCCTCGGAAGTTCCAGAATTTCACAGAGGAAGTTTCACAGAGATTACAACACTCTGTCCTAGGTTAGACATGAATTAAGCCTTTGACACATCATTTTCCCTAACCCCTGTGGAAGGATATGACACAAAATGTGATTTATTCGTGCTTGTTACACTCCAGGAACAAACTACTCTTGTGTGCAGCCTGAGATGACTGTATTTCAACAGTGTACTTATGCAGATGTAAACAAATCTTCATTTATTCTAGAAGTATCGACAAGTATGCAAAGAACAGAGAAGCAAGCCCCATTCTCACCTCCACCCCACACACCTTACTTAATTCCTCCAGTCCTAATGACTGAAGTTCCCCCAAACTATTGTGTCTCCACGGATGACATCACTCCTCTGAGAAGTCACTGGGTGACCACTGTCCTCTAGCCAGTGGTCACTCCAGCGCAAAGGTCACTTCCTTCCTCTTGAAGATTTGGGGAAGGACATCCCAGGGTCCCCCTGTGAATGGCAGGGCACTAGGATGAGGCAGGCAGCACGCGCTGGCGCGTATCTCCAACCCACTCAGCTCAGGGCGGGGCACTGTCCTTCCTGACGCGGAGACCCTGAGCTCCTGGAATTTCCCCAGCGCGGGGCTCGGGCTTTTCCAGCCACCATGCATAAAAGAGGCGCACGGGGCCCCAGAGCCCCAGATCGCACCTCAGTGCCTCCAGCCAGCTCCTGCACTCCAGACTCCAGCTACACTTCTGATCAGCACCATGGCCCCAGCCACCCGTTCACTCCTCAGTGCCTCTCTGCTGTTGCTGCTGCTGTTGCTGGCCACCAGCCACCAGGCTACAGGTGGGTCCCGCGGCTGCCATCCCTGGAGAAGCCTCAGGTGGGCGCTGCTGCCCATAGACCCGCTGACCCAGTGTCTTTTTCCCACAGGGGCAGTTGTGGCCACTGAGTTGCGCTGTCAGTGCCTGAAGACCATATCCAGAATTGACTTCAAGACCATACAGAGTTTGAAGGTGACGCCCCCAGGACCCCACTGCACCCAGACAGAAGTCATGTGAGTGTCTCCCTGGGCACCTCTGTCACTGCCAGAGTCTCCCACACCCGCCTGCTGCCCCATGTTCACCCCAGTGGGACCTCGTGCCTTATAAGGGTTCCCCGTTCTCTCTGCAGTGCCACTCTCAAGAATGGTCAAGAAGTTTGTCTCGATCCTGAAGCCCCCTTGGTTCGGAAGATCATCCAAAAGATACTGAACAAGTGAGTCGTGAATTGTGCTTACACTTGGTCAGAGTACTGGCGTCTGAGTCCTGAAAATTTTATCAGGGGAAAACCACAGACCACAAACAGGGTTATTACTTTCATAGTTAGCTTTGCCTTGTGATCATCAGTTCACCCTGATGGCAGAAAGATATGACCTGCTTCTACCATCTACACACTCAAAAGCCCTACTCTAATGGATAGTCGCTGTGTATCCCCAAGAATTCAGTAGAATTGACTAGCTGCATTTTAACAGTACTATTACGATACGGTACTTATCCCTTCCCTTTCCATGTCTTTGGGCTGTAAAGTGTAATTCCTGGTTTGGGTCAAGGTGTGCCTCTGAGGCATTTGATGAAGAACAGAGGTTTAGCAGTGGGACCACTAGAAATTCAAGTGCAGGCTCTCCCTCTTATCCTGTCTGAGTTAAAGGAGACAATAATAGGCACTAGTCATGTTTACAGCTTAAGGGAAGCTGCATCTTTATCTTTTTATTCTTCATCATTTGGACTGCTAGAAGCTAGTTGGAACCCCCAGCTCTACTATGATAATTTCAAAGCATCCAGAATGCAGAATGTTGATTGCTAGATAGTGCAGCCATGCCTTGGGTAACAACTCCCTGGTGGGAGGCTAGAGGTGACTGTTCTTGGAGAATAAAACAAGGTCCAGATGAAGGCGAAAGAAGAGAGCTCTGTAGTCAGTTTTTCTAGTACCTACTAACAGCAAGCCTTTTCTCATCACAGAGGCAAGGCTAACTGACCTGGAAAGAATTGGAGTGTGAGCTGCTGTACTTCAAGAAGAATCAAAGAGAAAATAAACAAACAGCACCCTGGAAGCCTGGATTGTTCCTGATATGTTTTTACTGTCTGAAAGTTTAACTATTTATTTATCTATCTATTTATTTATTTATTTTTCAATTCTCAGATATTGTTTGCTTATTGTGGTATTTAAAGAGATAAATGTGTTTGGCAATTCACTGTAATATTTTAAAAGGTCATTTTAATATTTTAAATCAAAGTTATTTTATTTATATAGTTGGAAGGTGATGAACTTTTAGATCTGTTCATTCATTACTTTCTGAGGGGGGTGAGTTAGGCACTAGCTACATCATGCTCCTAGTGTGATGGAGACTGGGGATAAAGGGGAGAGGGTATAGACAGATGCAGTCAGATCGCTTTTGAGGTAGGACTGTGCATGTACACATCAAGTTTTGTAAGTATTGAGAAGAATGAAATAGCTGTTATTTATTTTTCAGTGTTTTCACACTATGTCGATGACATTTGTTGTCTTTTCAGTAACTGTAATGTTGTGAATATCCCTTGGACATTTTGTGTCTTCTTTGTAAGGCACAGTGCCTTGGCCAGTAATTATTTTGTCATGCCTTCTTATGTCTTGAAGTAGAAACATTTATTTGTTCATGTACTTTTACAAATAACAAGAAAATAAAGCTTCAAATTAAAAAATTCCATGCTTAAGTTTGTTTTATACATCTCAATCTTTTGTTTCTGCAATGTACCCAAGGCTTCAGGAATGTATAACAAACCATTGTTCCTAAAGGGACAGCTACTAGCTGAAGCCTAACCCTAATCCTAACCCTAACCCTAACCCTAACCCTAACCCTAACCCTAACCCTAACCCTAACCCTAACCCGAACGCTAACCCTCTATGTGTGAGGCATCAGGACAATGGAATTCAGAATAAATCTCAGAAGCTATATGCTATTTTCATGTACTTAAAACTGAATAACTAAAAATGAATTATGAGTTCCAATTCTGCTTTGTCTTGTTAAATGCCTCAGTTATGCCATATTAACCTACTTTTTGTATGCATCAACTAAGCAAACTCTTTATGTGAAAATTAATACAATTATGATTATCATGTTACTTAATAGTCTCAAAAATCAAAGCATCTGATTTCCCTAACAATGAGAAATTCTACTGAGTTATCAAAAGAGATGAATTTAGTTTGATACAAGTGATGTGACCTGAGTCTAGATTCCCTGCCCCCACATAAAAGCTTCACATGGTGTTGACTTCTGCTCTTCACATGCACTGACACATATGTGTATACACAGCCACACAAATAAACATACATACTATATACACACACTTGCACACACTCACATAAAACAAGCACACAGAACACACAAGTACATACACACACACACACACACACACACACACACACACACA